GGTTTGAAGCCTGACAAAGCCTGACCTCCTTGGTTTGAAGCCTGACAAAGCCTGACCTCCTTGGTTTGAAGCCTGACAAAGCCTGACCTCCTTGGTTTGAAGCCTGACAAAGCCTGACCTCCTTGGTTTGAAGCCTGACAAAGCCTGACCTCCTTGGTTTGAAGCCTGACAAAGCCTGACCTCCTTGGTTTGAAGCCTGACAAAGCCTGACCTCCTTGGTTTGAAGCCTGACAAAGCCTGACCTCCTTGGTTTGAAGCCTGACAAAGCCTGACCTCCTTGGTTTGAAGCCTGACAAAGCCTGACCTCCTTGGTTTGAAGCCTGACAAAGCCTGACCTCCTTGGTTTGAAGCCTGACAAAGCCTGACCTCCTTGGTTTGAAGCCTGACAAAGCCTGACCTCCTTGGTTTGAAGCCTGACAAAGCCTGACCTCCTTGGTTTGAAGCCTGACAAGCCTGACCTCCTTGGTTTGAAGCCTGACAAAGCCTGACCTCCTTGGTTTGAAGCCTGACAAAGCCTGACCTCCTTGGTTTGAAGCCTGACAAAGCCTGACCTCCTTGGTTTGAAGCCTGACAAAGCCTGACCTCCTTGGTTTGAAGCCTGACAAAGCCTGACCTCCTTGGTTTGAAGCCTGACAAAGCCTGACCTCCTTGGTTTGAAGCCTGACAAAGCCTGACCTCCTTGGTTTGAAGCCTGCAAAGCCTGACCTCCTTGGTTTGAAGCCTGACAAAGCCTGACCTCCTTGGTTTGAAGCCTGCAAAGCCTGACCTCCTTGGTTTGAAGCCTGACAAAGCCTGACCTCCTTGGTTTGAAGCCTGCAAAGCCTGACCTCCTTGGTTTGAAGCCTGACAAAGCCTGACCTCCTTGGTTTGAAGCCTGCAAAGCTGACCTCCTTGGTTTGAAGCCTGACAAAGCCTGACCTCCTTGGTTTGAAGCCTGACAAGCCTGACCTCCTTGGTTTGAAGCCTGACAAAGCCTGACCTCCTTGGTTTGAAGCCTGACAAGCCTGACCTCCTTGGTTTGAAGCCTGACAAAGCCTGACCTCCTTGGTTTGAAGCCTGACAAAGCCTGACCTCCTTGGTTTGAAGCCTGACAAAGCCTGACCTCCTTGGTTTGAAGCCTGACAAAGCCTGACCTCCTTGGTTTGAAGCCTGACAAAGCCTGACCTCCTTGGTTTGAAGCCTGACAAAGCCTGACCTCCTTGGTTTGAAGCCTGCAAAGCCTGACCTCCTTGGTTTGAAGCCTGACAAAGCCTGACCTCCTTGGTTTGAAGCCTGCAAAGCCTGACCTCCTTGGTTTGAAGCCTGACAAAGCCTGACCTCCTTGGTTTGAAGCCTGACAAAGCCTGACCTCCTTGGTTTGAAGCCTGACAAAGCCTGACCTCCTTGGTTTGAAGCCTGACAAAGCCTGACCTCCTTGGTTTGAAGCCTGACAAAGCCTGACCTCCTTGGTTTGAAGCCTGACAAAGCCTGACCTCCTTGGTTTGAAGCCTGACAAAGCCTGACCTCCTTGGTTTGAAGCCTGACAAAGCCTGACCTCCTTGGTTTGAAGCCTGACAAAGCCTGACCTCCTTGGTTTGAAGCCTGACAAAGCCTGACCTCCTTGGTTTGAAGCCTGACAAAGCCTGACCTCCTTGGTTTGAAGCCTGACAAAGCCTGACCTCCTTGGTTTGAAGCCTGACAAAGCCTGACCTCCTTGGTTTGAAGCCTGACAAAGCCTGACCTCCTTGGTTTGAAGCCTGACAAAGCCTGACCTCCTTGGTTTGAAGCCTGACAAAGCCTGACCTCCTTGGTTTGAAGCCTGCAAAGCCTGACCTCCTTGGTTTGAAGCCTGACAAAGCCTGACCTCCTTGGTTTGAAGCCTGCAAAGCCTGACCTCCTTGGTTTGAAGCCTGACAAAGCCTGACCTCCTTGGTTTGAAGCCTGACAAGCCTGACCTCCTTGGTTTGAAGCCTGACAAAGCCTGACCTCCTTGGTTTGAAGCCTGACAAAGCCTGACCTCCTTGGTTTGAAGCCTGACAAAGCCTGACCTCCTTGGTTTGAAGCCTGACAAAGCCTGACCTCCTTGGTTTGAAGCCTGACAAAGCCTGACCTCCTTGGTTTGAAGCCTGACAAAGCCTGACCTCCTTGGTTTGAAGCCTGACAAAGCCTGACCTCCTTGGTTTGAAGCCTGACAAAGCCTGACCTCCTTGGTTTGAAGCCTGACAAAGCCTGACCTCCTTGGTTTGAAGCCTGACAAAGCCTGACCTCCTTGGTTTGAAGCCTGACAAAGCCTGACCTCCTTGGTTTGAAGCCTGACAAAGCCTGACCTCCTTGGTTTGAAGCCTGACAAAGCCTGACCTCCTTGGTTTGAAGCCTGACAAAGCCTGACCTCCTTGGTTTGAAGCCTGACAAAGCCTGACCTCCTTGGTTTGAAGCCTGACAAAGCCTGACCTCCTTGGTTTGAAGCCTGACAAAGCCTGACCTCCTTGGTTTGAAGCCTGACAAAGCCTGACCTCCTTGGTTTGAAGCCTGACAAAGCCTGACCTCCTTGGTTTGAAGCCTGACAAAGCCTGACCTCCTTGGTTTGAAGCCTGACAAAGCCTGACCTCCTTGGTTTGAAGCCTGCAAAGCCTGACCTCCTTGGTTTGAAGCCTGACAAAGCCTGACCTCCTTGGTTTGAAGCCTGACAAAGCCTGACCTCCTTGGTTTGAAGCCTGACAAAGCCTGACCTCCTTGGTTTGAAGCCTGACAAAGCCTGACCTCCTTGGTTTGAAGCCTGACAAAGCCTGACCTCCTTGGTTTGAAGCCTGACAAAGCCTGACCTCCTTGGTTTGAAGCCTGACAAAGCCTGACCTCCTTGGTTTGAAGCCTGACAAAGCCTGACCTCCTTGGTTTGAAGCCTGACAAAGCCTGACCTCCTTGGTTTGAAGCCTGACAAAGCCTGACCTCCTTGGTTTGAAGCCTGACAAAGCCTGACCTCCTTGGTTTGAAGCCTGACAAAGCCTGACCTCCTTGGTTTGAAGCCTGACAAAGCCTGACCTCCTTGGTTTGAAGCCTGACAAAGCCTGACCTCCTTGGTTTGAAGCCTGACAAAGCCTGACCTCCTTGGTTTGAAGCCTGACAAAGCCTGACCTCCTTGGTTTGAAGCCTGACAAAGCCTGACCTCCTTGGTTTGAAGCCTGACAAAGCCTGACCTCCTTGGTTTGAAGCCTGCAAAGCCTGACCTCCTTGGTTTGAAGCCTGACAAAGCCTGACCTCCTTGGTTTGAAGCCTGCAAAGCCTGACCTCCTTGGTTTGAAGCCTGACAAAGCCTGACCTCCTTGGTTTGAAGCCTGACAAAGCCTGACCTCCTTGGTTTGAAGCCTGACAAAGCCTGACCTCCTTGGTTTGAAGCCTGACAAAGCCTGACCTCCTTGGTTTGAAGCCTGACAAAGCCTGACCTCCTTGGTTTGAAGCCTGACAAAGCCTGACCTCCTTGGTTTGAAGCCTGACAAAGCCTGACCTCCTTGGTTTGAAGCCTGACAAAGCCTGACCTCCTTGGTTTGAAGCCTGACAAAGCCTGACCTCCTTGGTTTGAAGCCTGACAAAGCCTGACCTCCTTGGTTTGAAGCCTGCAAAGCCTGACCTCCTTGGTTTGAAGCCTGACAAAGCCTGACCTCCTTGGTTTGAAGCCTGCAAAGCCTGACCTCCTTGGTTTGAAGCCTGACAAAGCCTGACCTCCTTGGTTTGAAGCCTGACAAAGCCTGACCTCCTTGGTTTGAAGCCTGACAAAGCCTGACCTCCTTGGTTTGAAGCCTGACAAAGCCTGACCTCCTTGGTTTGAAGCCTGCAAGCTACTCCTGGTTTAAGCCTGACAAAGCCTGACCTCCTTGGTTTGAAGGCCTGACCAAAGCCTGACCTCCTTGGTTGAAGCCTGACAAAGCCTGACCTCCTTGGTTTGAAGCCTGACAAAGCCTGACCTCCTTGGTTTGAAGCCTGACAAAGCCTGACCTCCTTGGTTTGAAGCCTGACAAAGCCTGACCTCCTTGGTTTGAAGCCTGACTTGAAGCTAAGCCTGACCTCCTTGGTTTGAAGCCTGACAAAGCCTGACCTCCTTGGTTTGAAGCCTGACCAAAGCCTGACCTCCTTGGTTTGAAGCCTGACAAAGCCTGACCTCCTTGGTTGAAGCCTGACAAGCCTGACCTCCTTGTTTGAAGCCTGACAAAGCCTACCTCCTTGGTTTGAAGCCTGACAAAGCCTGACCTCCTTGGTTTGAAGCCTGACAAAGCCTGACCTCCTTGGTTTGAAGCCTGACAAAGCCGGACCTCCTTGGTTTGAAGCCTGACAAAGCCTGACCTCCTTGGTTTAAGCCTCGCCTGACCTCCTTGGTTTGAAGCTGACAAAGCTGACCTCTTGTTTGAAGCCTGACAAAGCCTGACCTCCTTGGTTTGAAGCCTGACAAAGCCTGACCTCCTTGGTTTGAAGGCCTGACAAAGCCTGACCTCCTTGGTTTGAAGCCTGACAAAGCCTGACCTCCTTGGTTTGAAGCCTGACAAGCCGGACCTCCTTGGTTTGAAGCCTGACAAAGCCTGACCTCCTTGGTTTGAAGCCTGACAAAGCCTGACCTCCTTGGTTTGAAGCCTGACAAAGCCTGACCTCCTTGGTTTGAAGCCTGACAAAGCCTGACCTCCTTGGTTTGAAGCCTGACAAAGCAGCCCCTCACAGTAGCACATACCAACTCACAGCAACTCTCATCTGATTCAAGCCCTTGCTTGGAGTCCCAGCTGCTTTCCCTCTTTACTTTTTTCTACCTTCAGCCTGGGGTTTTTTACCATGGCGCTTACAGCGGCTCTCATCTGGTTCAAACCCCTGCTTTAAGTCCCCGTTAATTTTTAACCTAAGTACATGCGTACTGTCTGCTCGTTGCAGCCATGGTACTCACAGCGGCTCTCATCTGGTTCAAACCCCTGCTTTAAGTCCCCCATTAATTGTTAACCTAAGTACATGCGCTACTGTCTGCTCGTTGCAGCCATGGTACTCACAGCGGCTCTCATCTGGTTAAGGCCCCCATTCGCCGTGACCAGCAGATAGCCGTTGGTGGAGCCCTTCACAGGCACTGGGGGGAGGAGACAGGGAGGAAGGGAGGGGTTCGGGGATTGGGACTGGGAAGTGAGATGGGGGGAGGAAATGGGAGCCGGGGGGGGGGGCGGGAAGAAAGTGCAGAAGAATTTGAAGTCCACAGATCATCTCTCCCTTTCCCTGTTCCCGTACGCCTCCCCTCTTCCCTTTCCTTTCCCCTTTCCTTCCTCCCGTCCCTCTCCCCTCTGCCCCCTTTTCCCCAACCCCTTTCCCCGACATTCCTTCGCATACCTTTATGGGTGCTGGAGCGAGCAATACACTGCGCATATTTCTGACTCTTCGGGGCTCTCCAAAGGAATTTCTCTCTAACGGGTACGGGAGGCGCATGGGAGAGTGAGGCGTTGAACCCAAATGGGGGCAGGGGAACGGAGGAGGAAGAGTAGGAATACTCAGAGAGTGGGGATACTAGGGAGGAGGAGGAAGTGGAGGACGAGGAAGAGGAGGAGGTGGTAAGTGAGTGACCAGTCTCCTCATCCCCATACTCATGCTCCTCTGCCAATCTGTGCTCATGCTCCTCTGGCGCCCTGTGCTCCTGCTCCTCTGCCAATCCGTGCTCATGCTCCTGCTCCCTGTCTCCTTGCTCTCCCTTCTCTTCCCTTCCTCTGTCGTCGCCCTCCATTCCAACCCCTGGCTCCTGTCCCTCGTGACCCACGTGCCCCTCATGCTCCTCATGCTCCTCATGCCCCTCGTGCCCCTCGTGCCCCTCGTGCCCCTCCTGTGCCTCATGCCCCTCCTCTCCCTTGCGCTCCTCTTCCCCTTCCTGTTCCCCGTGCTCCCCGTGCTCCCCGTGCTCCCCGTGCTCCCCGTGCTCCTCGTGCTCCCCGTGCTCCCCGTGCTCCTCATGCTCCCCGTGCTCCCCGTGCCCCCCCTCTTCACCGTGCTCCTCCCCAATATGGCTACTGCCGTCACTTAGGCCTCTCGAGGCATCCTCCTTCTCCCCTCTCCCTCTGCTGATCGCCAGCCCTTCCTCCTCCTCCTCAGCTTGCTGTTTACCCTTCCTCTCACTTCCCTCCTCGGTCTCCTCCTCAAGATGTCTCTTTCCTCCATGCTCTCCCTCCTCTCCGTCCTCGTCCTCACCTTCCCCTCTAACCTCCCCGTTACTCCCCCCCTTCTGCTTCCCCTTACCGCCCAACTCTTCATCTTCCTCCTCCCCCCTCTTCGCAGGCCCCAAACCGTCCTCCTCCCGATGCGGCCCCTTCCTTCCCCCGATCTCCTCATCGTCTTCATCCCCGCCCCTCAACCCACTCCTATCAGTCGTTTTCTCGCCACGCTTGCTACCCACCTCGTCATCATCCTCCTCTCTTCCTCCCACCTCCCCCCCATCCCGGTCGTGCCTCCGCCACTTCCCATTCCCCCTCGTGCCTTGTCCCGCCTCCCCTTCATCCTCCCCCACAGCCTCTTCCCTCCTGTTCTCCTCCCCTCCATCTCTCTCCCTTTCAGAGCCCCTGTCTCTCTCGTCATTCTCTTCCGTCCTGTACCTTCGTTTCCTCTTTCTCTGCTGCGTCAACCCACTCTTCTCTCCCTCTCTCCCCCCTCCTTCCTCCCCGTCTTCACCAGCAATCCGCTTCCCCCACACACGCCCTTCCTCCCCTCCTCTGCCCTCCTCCCCTCCCTTGAACTCAACTTCTTCCTCACTATCCCCATGTCCCCCCTCCCCTCTGCTTCCTCTCCCCTCCTCCTCCCCTCCCAGTCTCCTCCCTGCAACCGCACTGCTTCCCTCCTCACCATCTCTTCCCCCTGGACGCCTTCCCCCCAGAGATTGCAAATCCGAGCCTGATTCCGGACCTAATTCCGAACCTAATTGCGAGCCTGTAATCATTCTGGTGGTTCCGTGCCCCTCTCCTGAAAACTCCGCATTTTCAGCCGTCCTCGGCGGCGGTTGATCCTCGTCCAATCCCAGATCGTCGCCGGAGCCCGCAATCATCACTTCCGCACGGCCGCTTCTTAAGTTGCGGCTCGCGAATAAGGCTTGCTGCGCGTCGCCATTTCCGTTGACGATTTCGCTCGCGGGGCACGATTTCTCCCTGATGCAATTTGGCCAGTGGGATCACACAGAAGAGACTAGGGTTAAATGAATGTAGATGAGAGTGTAGGTTGGTGAGTGACGGCGGAATTTTGAAGTCTTGAAACAAGCATTAGTTCTCAAGCGCAGATATCATGCGCATTGCAATACGCATTGCGCACGTGGAGTTGCCAATTAGAGGTCACGGACGTCAACGGTTGAGGAGGGACATTGAGTTAGCAAAGTAGGGCCAAGAATTTGGGAAATTTCTAGGACCACGTATTCTCAAGAACCTTTTATAGGTCACCGACGACGGTCGAGGGAGTGATTTGTGAATCGAGATCGAGCACCCTCGCAGGACTGACATAATGCCCTTGATTATCGTTGATTAGGTTGATTGTAACCTCAGATCCATTCACGAAGTTCATTCACGAAGTTCATTCTCACACCAAATACGCAAGCACGCATGCACGAACGGACGAACGGACACTCAGATCGAAGCTCCGACCAAGAGCCATCAATCAAGAGCGTACCTTAAGATGAGCTCACGGAGATGGCCATCGTTGTAGTTCCGGCGAATATTACAAACATAATGAGAGGCCGCAAAACGCGTACGTACCTTGTTGAGAGGAAGTAAGCCGCCGCAAAACGCGTACGTACCTTGTTGAGAGGAAGTATTGATCTGAAGGAGACGGCAACCATCATAATTCCGGTGAACAGAAGAAACATCGACTCGCGGAAGCTCAGCATGTTCTGGGACGGCTTAAAACGCGTACATACCTTGTTGAGTGAAGGTATTGATTTGAAGGAGACGGCAACCATCATAATCCCCGCGAACAGAAGAAACATCGACGCGCGAAAGCTCAGCGGAACCACTCGCTTCCCCTCGTGCGCCTTCCCCCGCAGCCACCTGCTGCCCTCCGCATACGCCTTCCGCGCCGTCCGCTTCCCCTCCCCCGCTTCCGCTCCCCCAATCGCCGCTCCCCCGACCACCGATCCCCCGATGGCCATCGGCGGATTGTGCGAGTTGGCGGATTTAGGCATAGCCGCGGGTCTACATGAGATCGACTGATCGCCTGGAAGCCTGTCGGTACACGGAGAGGCGAGTAACGGGGATGATTCGTAGCTCTGTGGCGGAGCGGCGTGATCGGGAGTGTGGTGGTGGAGGTGGAGGAGGTGATTGTGTGGAGCGGCGTGAAGATGCACGTTGACGCCCGGCTGTTCCGCCATTGTTGCAAAATATCGCGAAGTTGATAAAACGCAACGCGTACGTAACGCAGAGTTCCAGCGGCGTTTTATTTACACTGCATGCGAGGCTCTAAGAGTGATCTAGCGAGCAGCTAGACGGGAGTTACGCGAGGGATGAGCCGTGAAGTCATTGTTGATCTTCGTGAATCAGCCGAGCTACGTGAAACACCGAGTTTCCCGTGGTACGAACCGCCAGGTTGAATATACTCATTGATCGGCTGTGAGCATTTTCGCCTTTGAAGCGCCGCGGAAGGTTCGGTTAGCCGCGATCAAGCAGGAATGGACCGTGTTTTTGTAGCGACTAGAGACTCCTGTTAAAGTTAGTACTTTCCGGGGACGCTTCCTCGATAGACAAAGACGAAAACCAGTCAGCGCTTTGAAGGAAGGCTAACATATTGAAGAGCCGTAGGTTAGTAAACTGTCGCATGGCATACCGTGTCTGTAGATAACGAAGTGAGGATCATCATGTACAGCAGCTACCAACAATGTGGTTGGAACTTGGATGGAGAACGAGCTGATGGGAGAACTCCTACTTGTATACCGCCAGAGCAGAATCACATGGGGTTGACTGGGAGTGTGACTGGGGTGACTGAGAACTGATGAAGTCGGTGGTATGGTTTAGTAAGGTATGGCTGGAGTGAAATGGGTTAGCCAGGCGAGAATGCAATTGGCGGAATAACTCAAGGTCAGGAGGAAGGGAGTGCCACAGATGCACAGGGGGAGGGGAAGCGACGGGGAGGGTTAGGAGGGTTACAGAGAGTTTGAAAAGGATGAAACGGGGTAAAGAGGTTGCGAAGTGAGGGGAAGGTATGGTAGGAGCGGACGGGTGGAACTCTGAAGGGAAGCAAGGTGCGGGAGTCAAAGCAGCCTTGGAAATCCCGCGCCTCGACAAAGCCTCCGCCTGCCCACTCACAGACACCCACGGACTGGCTGCGTGATACAGCCGCGTAACCTGTTCCTGGTCTGGAGGAGCTTGAAGCCTGCGACGCATCGTCCCCGCCCTGCGCATTGAGATTGCTATCGCGGGCTAACGAGCACCGTTGGATTGGTGGGTCTGGTCAGATCCGTTCTGGCGAATCTCCTCAACCGTCGCTTTGGTTCGGGAGGTGCTTTGCCCGAACCCTCAGGAATTGGCGGGGAAGCAGCCGAACTGGGCTGTGTAAGGCGGGAAAGTCTGTTGAACGCTAGAGCATGCTGGTAGCGAGGCCAAGAGCCAAGGTGCCAATAAAAGCAGTAACTTCGCCCTGCACATGAAGTGTTGCACCAATATAAGGCTTATGCGCTAATGAAATCTACAAGTTATTGTTAAATGCTAAAAAAATTAAGAACAAAGTTGAAACTCGGTATCACATCCCTCAATTAAGCCATTAATGAATTCAAGCCAACTTACATGTGTTTGATATAAGTGCAATGAATCAAGGCCAAATATGTATTTCATGCAAATGCTAGATTCCCAGTATGATGATTGACAAGGAATTTCATGAATGGAAACAATATAAGGTCGTGAGTCTCTAAATTGCAGGCCATGAGTTCAGGCCAGCTTGGGGCAATTATTAAGATTCGCCATTGCCAATTTGCAGTTGGCTTTAGGGCAGCAAGTACCGAACTGGTTCCAAAACTCATGTCAGATGTTAACGAATTTAATCTTCAGGAGGAGGCGGCGCGGTGACAGGCATTTTGAGCTTCCAGCCTGGCTGGATGATGAAGAGATCATCGTCAATTGGGCTGTCAAATCGAGCCTTCTTGAAGTAGTGCCGGTTCTCGTTCACTATGTCTGGTGTGAGGGGGTGGGGGAAGAGGAATGAGTGAGGGGGAAATGAAGAATGATAGAGATACACATGACGTGCAGGCACACAAACATGAGTAAAAAGAGATACACATGATGTGCTTGCAGGAAGTAGCAGCTCTGATCACACACGGCCGACGCATTAGAAGGGAACCAATTCAGTGCTCTTGGAAAGCCTGATTGTGGCAATCACTTCTACTAATTACGGATAAGAAAACCACTCAACGTTTTCCTGCAATAAGGTGTGTGAAACAACCCACTCTTACAATGGCCACGAGCATAACATCCCCCCATCTACCCACACACTAACTCACCCTTCCAGTTGGTCCCTGCACCTGTGAGCTGCCTGCTGATGTCCCACAGACAAACCTACCCTCCCAGTTAACATAACCAGTCTCGCTCTACCAGTGACCCGCGCACACACTCACCCTTCCAGTTCGTTCCCGTGCCTGTCAGATGCCTGCTGATGCCCCACAGGCAGTCGCCCTTCTTCACTGTCGTCGACACCGTCACTGTCTTGCGCTTGCCAATGCGGGGCACCTGGCGGGGAGGAGTAAGGGGAGGATGAGACGGAAGGGGGAGGAGATTTGATGGCGAATCATCCTTCGCTGTTGTCGCCACAGGCACCGTCGTGCACGGGCCAATGCGGGCCGTCTGGCAGGGAGGGTAGGAGGAGACAGTCTCGCAATTTGAACGAGGCCGAGAGCGACGAGGGGATACGGTGGGTACAGACGGCGTAACGGGTTCCTGGTATGACAGCTTTTTAGTACACGTGTTCTGCGGTTGCAAACTGAAAGTCTGTTTACCATAGAGAACATGGTGGTTACTAGAAAGCGCATGGTGGTTACCAGGATGTACATGGTGGTTACCAGAGTACACGTGTGGAGGTCAGTTCGTGGAGCCATGGCCCTTGGGTCCTCCCCAATGCGATCCTGGCATCCCTCGTACACGTCTGATGGCACGAGGGAGGGAGGAGGGAGGGGGAGGGGGGGGGGGTGGGGTGGGGGGGAGGAGACTATTTTTGAGGCGCCTCAAAAAGAGGAGAAGGAAGAGAGAAAGAGGGCAAGCATGGAGGTTTCTCTAATTGGTGAACTCGTGGGTCCTCCCCACTGCGATCCTGACAACCGTCGTACACGTCTGATTGCAGGAGGGAGGGGGCGGGGGAGGGGGGGGGAGCGAGGATTACACGGATCAGACGCAAGCGGAACTCGAGGAGGCCTGACCAAGAGAAGGGCGCCGAGAAGAGCAGATGGAGGGGCAGAGGCATCAGGTGTATTTTGAGCCGACTCAAAATACACCTGGACGCAACGGGAACGTGAGGAGGCCTGACCAGGACAAGGGCGCCGAGAAGAGCAGATGGAGGGGCAGAGGCATCGGGAGGACCGACGACAACAAAAACAAAGATGGTAGGTAAACAACAGTACGTACGCGGCCATTGCTTGGGGTCACTCCACATGGCCTTGCTCCACGACCACAGCGTCGACTTCGCCGGTCCGAGCCCCTGATTACCGCTCTGATGCCCTCCCGCACCGAACCTGAACACCCCATCGTCTTGCTGCTGCTGCTGCTGCTGGTAGTGTTGCTGCTGTTGCTGCTGCTGCGGCTGCTGATGCTGTTGGTATTGCGGCTGCTGCTGCCACGACCACTGGTGTTGCTGCTGCCGCTGCTGCTGCTGCTGTTGTGGTTGGTACTGAGCCGGTTGGATGAAAGCTTGGTTCTGCTGCGTTTGAATCGCCGCGTGCTGCGGCGGCGGATGCGGCTGGAACGACTGTTGCTGTTGAAACGCGGTTGTGGTTGTGGAGGCTAACGTACGGTTCGGATTGTGCTGGTGAGCCGCCGGTTCGTATCGACCGTCCGATCCACGCGGCGTCTGCCGTTGCCGCGTGCGGATGAAGAGCGGCTGGCGTCGCGGCGTCAGATCGCTGAAGCCCGACCCGCTGGACGCCTTCGCGCCGCCTTGAAACGGAAGCATTGCGGCACGAAAGGTTTAGGACCAGATATCTCTGCCTAGAAAATACTATTTCGGTAGGATTATGTGAAGGACGTATGTGTGCTCTCTCACAAGCGTGAGATCAGGAAATATCATAAAAGAGTCTTAGCGTCCATAACTGCAGCACACAGCCGACTATCTGCAGAGTCAGTGAACGTAGATCAGAAAACTGTACTAGAAAGGAGCTGACGAACTTGTGAGAAGAAGACAGACCGCCTGCAGATTTGAATGCACGGTAACCATAGGAGCTAGATTGGCGCAAAAATGGCGCAAAAAGGCGCGGCTCTGTCTGCGATTTGCCTCACTCTCTGCCCCCCGGCTATGGTGCAGATTTGGCGCGAAAACATCTATGGTCATGGGAAGTCCAGAACCTGCACACGGAGGCTCGGGGCCGTTTTTGGTTGGAGGCCGGGCCTGATTGTTCTGGTAATTGTGCTTTGGACAAACTGGCGAAGCTCTAGCATTGGCCAATTGAGATGCTTTGAAAGTTCGGAGGTGTTATGAATGAACAAGCAGAGTAGCGCGGAAATGAATAATGAAGTGTTCACTCAATGAATGACGATACAAGGAATGGCAAGCCAAGATATAGGAACACCAGAGCTAGTCTAACCATGCGATGGTAAGGTTCGGGAAAGAGATCGAAGGGTCTCGAAGTGACGAAACGAGGCCTGGGGGACTCCCGAAGGTCGAACTAGCAGGTCTGGAGAAGCCGAGGCGGTTCTGTCAGAAGGTCTGGAACAGTCCCGAGGCTTCGGGTGTGTTCGAGCGTACGCGATAGCAGTACCGCTCGGTAAGGAATGGAAAATTCCTTACAGGAGGAGAGAAAAGGCACCGCCTACCACGGCTCTTTACCCCTAACATTTGAGACAGCAGAATGGCTCTGATTAGGTGGCTGCACTGCAGAGATAAGATAGATTCTTCTTAATGGAGATTAGACTACTTTAAAAGAATGAAGGCGAAGGTATATAGCTCCGTGATTAGTGCTTCCATAGTGATATAATCTATCAGCTAGAGTCAAGGCCCTATATGAGTATGCAAATGATCCTGTAAGGCATGATGGCTGTAGAAAGGTTGTTCTCACTGAGTTGCCCCGTCAGGGTGACACCAAGCTATGACCTAGCCCTTGGCCTTTCCTCGCCTTTCTTCCAGCATTCCAGCATTCCGCATCGTTTCCTAGTCGTCAGGCCTTGAGTTCCCTCATATCCACATTGTTTCCTAGCCGTTGCCTTGTTTTAGCGTTCTCGCCCTGCCGCTAGTAGAAAAAGTCGAGACGAGGCACCACTCGTCGTCCTTCATTAACATTGGCGCCGATGGAGTGCTCCGTGTATCAGCAATGGGACCGCGTCGTAGCGCACTTCGTAAGAACAACACCTTCCAATTCATAACGTCTTATCCAGAGCTGCCTCTAGATCGATCCCTCTCCCTGGCAGGACCTCGGCTGTTTTTATTTACGCGCTGGTGGGTCAGAGAAGACAGCCCGAGTTTTCCGCAACCTCCTAATTCTGTTTCGCCTCTTGATCGATTGGTCGCCTTGGCAGGACCTCGACTGCTTCTACGCTCAGGTGGAGCAGCAGAGGCGACCGGAGCTGAAAGACCGACCTCTAGGCGTTACACAGGTGAGTGCGGTGAGGTGGCCGAGATAGAAAAACCGATCTCTTTATTTTCTAGGCGGCTGAAAAATCGCAGGTGGAGCAGCAGAGGCGACCCGAGCTGAAAGGTATACCTCTAGGCGTCACGCAAGTGAGTGTCAGAGGCGGTTGCAGACAGATAAATCAATCCAGAGATGCTCTCCGCTGA